CTGTGGGTTTACCTCAGGCCTCCTCCAATGAGGACAGACAATTTAGACCCCCCCCCCCACCCCCCCATTTTTCACACCTATTTGTTAGTTGCTGTTGGGGGGGTGCTGGGCTAAGACTCCTTTGTTTAGTTCCCTCCAAAAGAACTCTAGTCAGACTTGAGAACTGTGATACAGGCCTGAGTCCTTTGTCCAGCACACATGGCTGAGGCCCAACACTGTAATGTCCCAGGCTGCTTATCTGTACTCTGACACATCTTTCCTAATGATGGTTTAGATCCTGTCTGCAGATCTAACCTTTAATAATGGAGCTATGTTGTTTGACTGAAGTGAATACATAGTTTGGAAGGAAAAAATAAGTGATAAATGTGACAATTAGCTGCAATATTACTATTGCCCTAGTTTCTCTTGCTTGTCTTTAAATCGTGTAACTTCCTGTCATTCCTATTAATGAGTCATTTTCTCTATCCCTCAGCTTTTGAAATATGATAAAGAAGTTGCTGCCTTTTATGATGTAGTTCGAGAAGAAGAGATCCAATTTCCGCCAAGGTCAGGATTGTACCTAAGCTACTAGTTTCTAACATACTATGTACAAACTCCCTCCTCTTTTGATTGTTTTCCTTACTGCCATCTGTGTCTCCCTCAGTTATCCGTACAGTGAAGAAAACACTAAACCCACCCAGTACATGAACACTCGCTGTCCTGCCTGGTGTGATCGTATCCTCATGTCACACGCTGCCCAAGAGTTCCTCCACAGGGTCAGTCAGTGCTTAATGTCAAGTCTTTACAGCCATATGCCAGTTTCATCATATAACAAACGATGTATGCAACATAAAATGAGATTTTTTTATCTGAAAAGTTCCAAAGTAAAGTGAGTCATTTTCACTTGAATGCCACATTTCTTTTGTTTCTTGTCCAGCTGATAAAAATAATGCTTCTTTTCAGAGAAATGACGATGATGATAAGGATCTCGTTTACAACACAGTTGGTCCTAACATCTGTATGGGAGACCATAAGGTAACAGTTCAGATTTCATCTTTATTTTGCAGGCAAACAAACCCGCCATGTTGGATAACTTTGGTGTGTTCTTGTGTTTTTTTTTCTTTCTCACAGCCTGTTTTCTTGTTCTTCTCCCTGAAGACAAATAACAATTGACTGGGATCTTTCTTAATGGTAAGAGCATGTTGCCAGGTAGTGTGTTTCAATATTGTATAGCATGTAGAGGTGTTAATATGTCTCTATGGTGATTCCATAGACGGGGTACTCTGTGTGTTAGAGAGATCACAGTAATCTTACATGGCTCCCTGGAGAGCCATAACCCCGGCTGGCCCATTGGAGCCGGGATATGAACTAAGATGAAGTGCCTGCGGGACACAAGCACTCCTTTGTGTCCAGTGTAGTGGGACCAGAGGCGATCAGCACCTTTCACTGATCTATGTCTTTTGAATCCTCTCCACTGTCACTGTGGCTACACACTAAGTGCACCTCAGGCCTGCTCTTTATTAATTACTGTCTGGATGGTCGAACAGATAGAAATGCATTTTACAGAACAGCATATTGGCATTTTTACAGCCACATTTTTTGTTTTGCTGGCTTTCAAGTGTATTTATTTAAAGGATAAACTGCTTTTTCATGAGGGCCCTTCTTTAGAGGGCTGCAAAATGACGAGAGCCACCTAATGATGGGGCCTTCAAATGGTCCAACCAGCTTACCTAGTGTTCTCAGTTCTTGAAGACTCTCAGTTCTAATATCCTGGTACTATATATCATTTGTATGGTTGTAGAAGAGTGTTTAGCCTTATTTATGAAGGGAAGTGGTTCAGTGTGCTTTGAATGTAGCTTTGTATGTTTTTCAATTACCTTTGGCATTATGTAAAAAATGTCTGATGACAGTGATGTAAGCAGTATCACACTGTTTCACCGCCCTTTATGTAATTCCGACGCTTTCTCTTCTGCAGCCATGTTTGATAAAATGTCTATCTACGTCTGTGTGTGTACGTGTCTGCTGCAGGTCTATAACCGCACCATGCTCAGAGCTCTGTCACAGTATCAGAGGGTAATCAGAAGGATGATCACCCACCACAACCCATCCATCAGCCAGCTGTAGGTCGGGACAGAGTAGGAACCCTGTCCACATATATCTGGTTTCTCACATCTGGTCTCACTGCCCACCACCGCTCACAGATTCACCCCAAGCTTTTATGGATAGAGGAAAGTCCTAAACATCCCTCTTTGTAGTCATGGACGTTTAAACAGGACAAAAGGATGGTGTTTATGTTAAGACTGTAGCTTGCGACTTTAAACTACTCATTGTTGTGTGCATGGATATTACAAAATGTGATTTCTGTGTGTAAAAGGCATTGTTAATTAAAAAAAAAAAATCTTGAATGCCCAAATTCATTTTAAAACTCTCCAATCAATAAGGAGCAACTAAACTGGGTGATTTTGGCTCATTTATAATTAGCAGTTCAATCAGCCAATCAGAATCCAGTATTGTAAAACTGTTGTGTAATGAACTCTTAGATAAAAATAATGAAAAACATTAGTGTAATGTCAAAACTTAATTATAAATTGTGATCATTCATATCAAGTATGGAGTGTTTTTTAATATGTAGCAAAAATGTGCAACACATTTTAATCACAATGTATTTCAGTATAATAGATTTTTATAAACTAAAAAGAAGATTTTAATATCAAAATGACTTTGAAAGGACACTAGAAAGTTTACAAATTTTTTGAATGCAACAACAAAGTGATTACAGCAGTTTGGTCTTTGCATGCTGAGGTAAGAACTGAATGAATCTGTCAAACGCAGCAGCAGTGTTTCACCTTGTTACAGAATGTAGTCGTTGTTGTTTTTCAGTGAACCAGCTGAACATTAATACCAAGTGCTTTATTCCAGAGGTTTCAACCCAGCAGTTGTCTATGTTTTGATTGTATCTGTCCTCACTCAGAAACAGTTCTCTGTACTGTTTGTCTGTTACACATGGTGTCTGTGCAGACATCTCACCGTTCCTTTCATGGTTGGCATCGATATTATATCATTACCAAAAGAATGATGTTGGCCGCACATGTTTACTTCTAACTATGGTAAAGGAGTGTTCATGTTTCACGTGGCCTCACTTGATCTCTTGATATAAGTATGAATATTTGTTTCATATACTCACGTGTGTGCACACCCACACTGCACTGTTTATGTTTCTTTTGTCTCATGTTGTTTTGTTGATTATGTTGATTAATAGCCTCATACTGTAGCAGTAATATATATTATTATATTTTTAATTTGTGATGTTTGGGTTAGATTTTTTTATTTGAAAGAATTTAAAATGTTTGTGGTTGGTTATTTCTATCCATCCATCCTGGACGGTAACAGTGGGTTAGGGTTGGGGGGGGGGGGGGGGGGGGGCAGCTGATGTGTGTTTAGGTTTTCTCTTTTGTGAAACTTCTTCCGTCTTACTATTTGGGGGAATGCAGTACACATATTTTCACATTTGGACTTTTAAGTCATTTTTGTTCAGTGGAATCAAAAACTCCACCCACCATGACAAGATGAAGTCACATTAACAATGGTGTCTGTTTCAAGGGCACTTTGTGCTGTGTGTTCTAACCTTAAAGCGGTTCACTGTTCATTAAAAGGCCAGTATTACCTTTATATTAACTCTGGTCAAACACTACATCATTGTGATCATTCACTTTTGTAAATAAATATTAGCCTCATAAATATGTTGCCATGGTTTTTTATTGTCTTTATCAGCACTGTATATGCAGTCTTTGATGCAGCTCATGTCTAGGATTTGGAGACGGTCATCTTTAGCTTCTTGGAACAGCAGCAGTCACCTCATTTCACCGACACGTTTGAGTCACACCTGTTTGGGGAGATGCTGCGGCGTAGGTCACATCTTTAAACCTTGACAGAAGCTGATAAACCTGCATGATTGGTTAAAGTACCGCCTATACTCTCCTAAATGCGGCTGTTTTCATGATCAAGGGTTGTGGATCTTGACTGGTGTCAGAACTAAATATTACCACATTAACATTTACACTCACACACTTTATGTTGACCGAAATAACGCAAAAAATATGTGCTTTGTTTAGGCCAGATAAAAAATCTAGAACTGTCATGCAAAATGGACATCAGGTCTACACACCTTAATCCAAGGTGTGTGTGTGTGTGTGTGTGTGTGTGTGTGTGTGTGTGTGTGTGTGTGTGTGTTTGGGTATGTGTGTTTTTGTGTGTTCTTCACAGAGGTAAAGAATTGATCTCTTATGTTAAGCTGGGCTTTATTGCAGCAAATGAAAAATTTGACCTTTACCAGAGGCCATGCTAAACTTTTAACTCAGATTGAAAGTCCTTAAGGCTCAACACATCAAGAGAACCATTTCTACTATTACTGCATTTCATTTTTTATTTTATTTATTCAGTTGTTTAACTCAGATAAATACAGGCTTTTAGATTCCAGCAATTTGGAGGGACACTAAAACATAAATCCATTACTGAAAATGTACAAATCCTCGAGATTGTACAATGCTCGGTCATTTTGAGAAATGTTCTCTTTAAACATAGTGAGCAAACTGTATACGACAGAACTGACAATTTATGATGCGTACCTTAGGCTACATGCAAGTACACTGTTTACACAGTCTAGTGAATCATGTTTGCCGTGAGTAAAATAAACAGACTTGTCCCTGCAGCATTCCTCCGTGTCTCCCTTGACAGAGCCTGGTGTCTGTCTGAACCATTTGAAATCTGAACTCACCCAGTCTAAATGGTGAATGAGCTCTTCTGTGTGTATTGATTTTATGTTGAGGTGGCTAGTGGGGGACATTGTCTTCAATTAAACCTAACCACACCAGTAAATCACTCTAGATTAGACCTTTGACCTCTGGGGTTTAACTATGAATTTAATACAAATACAGCAGAAGGATTAGTTATTACACCTACACCATGAACTGTTACATGGATACAGACAAAACAGTTTGCCACCACGTTTAGTAATTGAGTCACATTAGTTTATTGTACAATATTCAGGAGTCGTTCACATTATCCACCTCCATATTGTTAGCGTATTTTAAAAGCATGAATACAGTAGGCCTAAAGAGTTCATTTCAAACATCCTGCCTCTCAGTGTTTGTAGGACTGAGTCCATTGTTATGAAAAGCCCACAAACATTTAGAAAAGAATCTGTCACGTAATGCCTGTAAGAGTAACATGAAATAGTGTGCCATCTCTTCACCGTCAGATCAGCTTTACATTCATGAGTTTAGGACTGAAGCTGTGATTGAGATATCTTTGCCACCTAGTCTTGATTTTATTTTATTTTTTCACTGCAACATTTTACATTTGCAGGTATTTGTCCATGGGTTAAGACAATTAACTAAGGTAAGCTTTTCCGGTATAGCTTTATGTGGCATTACACTTCTGTGGCTTTCACATCATTTAAAGTGCCTAGCACAAAATAATCAGCAATATATTCATAGACTGTAAATATTAACATTTGAATATACTCTACTGTGAAACAAGAGAACATGAATGACTTCAGATGTATCATCTTAATTTATTAATATCCTTTCACCAGTAGCACCATGCACTTTTGTTTGGGTGATTTAATCATTTTTACAAAAAGACGTTCATGAAACTATCTCTCCACATAGCGGTGTAACATTAAACAGACCAGGGATCCGTTCTTACAGTAACTTATAAAAGTAAACGCGTATTAGCTTAATTTTGTAAAAGTAAAAGTTTTTCTATTGAACCTGTTTTTGTTGAATGACCACTGACGACCTCTACTGAACATGCGTAAATGCTCACTCATTCAACTTCGTTTTCAAAATGAAGTAATCAGAACAGCATGCAGGTGTGCTGTGGAGGCTCACTGAAATAGGCTACAGTTTGTCAGACGTGGTGGGGCCCGAGCCGCAGGACGGAGAAGGCCCTACGGTGTTTGCGAAGAAGCAGTCGGATCTTGTCGTCGTCAGAGTCCGGGTCCAGAGGCCTGTTGTACTCCTCGTCCTCCACCTCGTTCTCCGAGGCCTCCCCGCTCTGTCCCGCGAGGCTGGCCTGCGTGGAGCTCGGCTCTGAGGCGCTCTTCTTCCTCCATTTGGTGCGTCGGTTCTGAAACCACACCTGAACACAACATGAGGAACTTTACATTTTCAATTGTAACCTTAATACGTTATGCAACAAGAGCAATCAAACATAATTGCAGGATCCTGTTCTTGTGGAACTAAGGCCTGACTGTTAGTCCTCTTACTTGTGTATTGAAGTATATATATTTTAAATAGTGAAATGAAATAGTGTGACATCTCTTCACCGTCAGATCAGCTTTACATTCATGAGTTTAGGACTGAAGCTGTGATTGAGATATATATTATATAGTCTAACTCTTATGTGTTGGTTATACAAGTAGGTTCTATTGCACCTTTCACAACTAAAGTGGCTACCAGTTGCTTTAAAAGTGCACATGAGACCATAAAATATAAAAAAAGAATGATGAGGTTGACAGAGGAAGGATCAATTCAGCTTTAATTCAAGTTGACGTGATGTCATCTTTACCTTGACCTGTGACTCCGTCATGCCCAGAGAATAAGCCAGTCGGGCTCTCTCCGGACCGGCAAGGTACTTCGTCTGCTCGAATGTTTTCTCCAGGGCAAATATCTGGTGCCCGCTGAATGTAGGTCTGGTGTGTTTTTTTCTGCCTGACATCTCCCCAAGAGGACCATTACCTGAGAGCAGCAGAGGAGAGTTAGTATTCAAGCAAAAGTACTACAGCGCTTTAACATCAACATAAGAACTAAAAAGAGGTGATGACACAAGTATTTATTTCTTATAAAGACTCTCAACCTCTCAATCCTATTGTCCTTTTATAAATAAAAAAACGGCAATTATGAAATAGATAGAATTTTGTAGAAGTTCTTTTATAAGCAGAGATAAAATGCAATTTAATAAGTAACATCATCCACATCTTCTATTCACGGGGAATTTGGGGAATATTGCTTTATTTTCCAGTATACTTGAGAAACTCATCTTTCCTTGTTCATTTAAGTTTTCTAGGTCTTAAAAATCAAGTATAAATAATACAATTTTTTTATTATCTTGTGTGTTATACATGTGTCGGACTAACTCAGTTAAAAAAAAAATACAAATCAAAGCTAGTGTTCAAATCCTGCATTTGACCTTGAGTCTTTAAAAGGAATGTATATTTCTACATGTAGGCATCACTGACCTTGAAGTAATCAGACTCATACTATTTGTAACATGAGGATGTTGTTTGTAGTGTGTACTCACTGTTGGTGCACTGCTGTCTCCCTCCTCTCCACTCACAGCCGCTCTCCGCCCAGCAGCTCACACTGCGACCCTTCATGGGGCACTCTGTGCCTGGCTTGGAGAAGCCGCCCAGGTTGGAGTTGTAGTCTCGGTTATAGTACACAGACGTGCTGGTGACGGAGGGCCCAAACCCCCCCATGGTGGAGTATCCAGGCAGCAGAGTGGTGGTGCCCGTGGTGCCCATCCCCAGCATGGAGCGGCTCAAGATGTCGCTGATGCCGTGCGGGGTCCCTGGCTGCAGCTGGCTGTTCAGGCCTGGGTTGAGTTTGTAGAAAGAGTTTGGCACCGAGTACTGGCACACCGGGGCCTTCAGGTCCGTGTTGAATTGGTTCAGGCTGTTGTTAAAGAGGAAAGACCCCTGGATGTTTGGATCCATGGGGAGAACGGTAACAAAGCCTCCAGGTCTCAGTAACACATCCAATAAGATCCAGGTAGGAAAAGATTTCTGATGGGCCCACGAGGAGTTCTCTCACTCGCAGACGACGGGTTCGGGTTCACACTTCCGTCTCTTGATATTTAATTAATAAAAAGCACTTATCGCACTTTAACACAATCCTTGATGTTTCCCCAAAGTTGCCACCACATGAAAAGCATCAAAAACAGCAGATTAACTCTTCACTCTCGCCCTGCACCTCTCTATCTGTAATAGTCCCATATTTGATGTCTTGGGTGAGCCCTTCGGACACAGATGTTCCCCTTGCCGGCTCTGGTCTCAGAAATCATAAATAAGCAGTATGTGGAAATGGAGTGGCACCTTGATAAAGATAGGCCACATTAGAATGCAGCCTGGGATTGGCTGGGGTCTCACAGCTTTAATGGCGTTCTATTGGCTGCTTGCTGAGAGCTGAGCCTTTTATTGGACTGCACCAGATTAATAGTGTTTTGAACAGGTGGAGTGGGAACAAGTTGATTTTTTGATGGCCTGCCATGTCTGACCAAGTGTGGTGGAGGGGAGGGGGCTGAGCCGTGAGTGCACAGAGCAGGAGGAGAAGCATTGCTCGGATTCCTGATTAAATTCTAGAGAAATTACAGAACAACATTTAACTGTTTGTATACGCAATGTAACTGTAAATGGTAAAAAAAAAAAAATACATTTATGCAGCAGTTCCTGTCAGTCAAAATTATTTTTATTGTGGATTATAAAGATTTAGTTCAATCATATACAGTCTGTTATATGTTATCAAAAAACTCTCCTACTAGCAAGCTGTAGAAAAATATGTACAAAACGTTTACAAGACACCAACAAATACAGATAAGTCAAACATTTACATTTCGTGTTATTGCAGAATTATGTAGGTCTTTTTAAGCATCAGCCTTAAAAGAAATATCGTATAGAATTCCCATAAAAACTGCTACGCAATAGGTCATTTGTTTGTTTGTTTATTTGGATCCCCAGTGATAAAGCAAATTGTCAACTATCCAAAGGAAATCAGCACAAAAGAGGCCATTTTGCATAATTTATTTAATGTTGTCATCAAGAAGACAAAAAAACAAAAACCTAGCCTCATTCTCTTTTTCTACTTGCTCATGCAAAAAACCTCGCCACAGTCAAAGTACCATTCCAAATCAAACCACCACGTATACCATCAAACCACCACTACCTTCAGATCTAAATCTGGATCCAGTCAGTCACAAAATTCACAAACAAATCTTCGGCAGGGTTCTTGTAAGTGTATCATATTTTTCTACAGGGTCTTTGTATGGCCAGAAACAAAAGGACAATGTAAATGTAAATCATTCATGTTCTTTTTGAGCGCTGAAGCAGGCCACATTAATTCAGGTTGTCAGTTCTTGTAAATGATATTGAAGTAGCATAAACCTGTGTAAATGTTTAATCAAATGTATTGTGTAATTGTTTCTGGGAAGTGCTCAGTTTACGTTTACAGTATGTGTGCAGAGATAGTTTCATTATGTGTTGTCACAGCGGTAGAATTATTACTGCTTACTGCTCTGTGTTTCCTGTCATACCTGATATGAGGTGTGAGTGAGCCACATATCTGAGATCAAAAAGTATTTCCATGTATTACCAAAAACCTTAAGACGTAAAATTGTATTCACAAATGTATACAATAATAATTACACCCTATGCTGGCCTTACACCTAAAAACCTTTCAAGCCATTTGAACGTCACAGACAAATTCCAAATTTGGAAATGATCTGAAAAGGAATAGCTGTAGTCTTTCAGTTAGTAAGTCAGATGTTAGTCTTTTAAACATGAACATTTTTGCAAAGTTTTCTTGTGCATGAAAGGCACTGAACTTTATGAACACTCTCAGTCAAGCATAGTTAATGTAAGTTGCTGTTATGCTGTTAGTTCGAGGGTGGTGGTTTACAGGGTAATTTATACAGGCTACTTAACTATTTTATGTAAAAATATTACAAATGAATAGTTAAACAGTGTCTTCAGTCATAGAAAAACCTTTCATATGAACTTGTATTTAAACATATCCAAACTCGCAGCTTCAGAATAAACTCTCCATGTGGTGGGAAGTTTTAGGGAGAGCAGATGTGATATCTAGTCACTGAAGCAGTAACTTTCCAAGATCAATGAAGTCATTTCGAAATTCCAGACATGGCTGCGTCCTGTCACATGACCAGGACAGCCAATCAATGAGGATTAGAAAATCTACACCCGGCTCTCGGTTTGTCAACACTGAAGCACGTATGAAGTTCCTTGAAAACCACAGAACAAGTCGGGGAAGTGGAAGTGGTGGTAATTTTCCATCACATTTCTATCAGGTGACTATCGAGTTTCCTTAAAATAGAAAAGGGGTCAAATTGTGTGTCAATTTCTTATTGTGCTGTACAGTATCTGTGTGACATGTTTGTTTCTGGGCCTGGGCTTTCAAATATTTGACTCACTTTTGCGTAGAAGGGACTAAAACAAAGAGAGGAAAAAGATGCATCCTACTTTCGAGTAAACACAAGCAAAGAGTCACACTCAGGAAGAAACAACAACTTATCTGACACGTTCAAAATATGACATCACATGTAAGAGAATGAAGGTGAAGTAAGAATAGGTAGATGAACATTTCGCGGGAAAAAAACCTTTCCTAAATGTCATTCTCTGATATTCTGTAACTGCCGCACAGGTTAATCCTGTGTATTAAAATCTACATGAATGTATGACTGATCAATGTCCATTTAAGCATAATACATAATCACAAGGAATGACCTATAATGAAAGTTAACTTTTGATATGAAACACCAGATATTTGCAAAATAATGTGTAGAAACAAGACAATTAGAGTAAAGTCTTGAGAAATAAATGAGCATTTAGTGGATAACTTTGTCACATGTTTACTGTACAAATTGTCATCAGTTCTGTTTTGTGAGTAGACAGATGTAACATGCTTGTGTGCTCAAACTTCAATTTTCAACATAAAGCACAATCACAATACATTGACAATAAAATAAAAGTACCAACAGCTTTTAGAAGAACTCAAGGTATTTGCGGTCTCATGAAAAAATATAAATGTTTGAGAAAAAATTGCAGTTCTTATCCGTTTTGTTTTTGCATCTGTCAGCTTTAAAACACAATCACAGGACACATGACATATAACCTAATGAAAGTTCAACTTTTCTACATGTGAGCAGATTTCATATACAGCTCATGTTTGTTCTGCCGCAGAAACATTGGATATACAGACAAAAATGTTGGCACCACAGCCTCCATGCCCTGAAGATTTAGGAAAGTTTCTAAAGTTTGGGTCCTCCCTCGGCCACGCCTCTCCCTGTCCATGTGATTCAGGACTGTTGGTATTTTGGAGCAGCACGTGCTCTGTTTTAAAAGCAGTGAGCGCTTCCTCTTCATGACAGTTGAATGAAACATAGAGACGGGAGCAAACCTTTTCTGAAGACACAAAGAAAGATACAGACTGCTTCTTCAAGATGATGAAGGAGAACATCAATGACAACTCTGGTGAGATTTTATTCTTTATGTTGTATATTATGTTGAGGACATAAAACGTTTTAATATTACTGTTTTCAATTTGAAATGCAGCTTTGTTTTGTGTTCGATTTAAAACAGTTTAAGTACAATTAAAACATCAAACGCATACTACAAATACGTTTGATGATTTTATTGTTCTTAATACTCACACTTATAACAGAAGTTTGATTTTTAAAACTAAGGGAAATAAATCTTTCAGAAAGTTTTTACTTTAAATATTTAAAGTATTACAGATTTATGCTAAAATTTACCTTTTCATACTTTTGTACTCGTATAAAATAAATCTTGTTGTTACTTTCTAAACGTATTATAGGATGTAAAAATCTATTTCTCACCCAAAAATGAATGTCCCAGAGCTTATTGTCACAAATATTAGGTTCTAATTTACCAGTAGTGAGCTGTGCTCATGCTCATTTCTTATTATTGCTGTAAAGATGAAATCATTGCAGACCAGGAAGAAAAACACAGGGAATGAGGGGCATTTCTGTTTACTGGAAACTCAGGGACATCACAGGTCATGCCAAAATGAAGTGTCTGCTACTTTCACTATAACGTTTTACAAGTAATACCTGATAGGGTTATCTTTATTGCTCTATTAAAGCAAATGATTAACTTATCAATCCGGTTCAAATAAAAACACGAGCAACACAACGTGACCTCTGGTTTTTCTACTTATGTTTTTATTTAGTTTAATACATTATGAATTTAAAATAATACCAAGCAGATGATATATTATGAAAGTTTAAAGCTTTTCCTGTTTTTATCAATTGATCCTATAACGTGAATGATGACATCACTCTGCTTTATGGCATTGCTTTGTCAGACAATGTCATTTATTAACCAGCCAAGGTTATTAGAACACTACACTTTACAAAACTTTACAACATAATTGGACTGAAAAGCATCAAGTAAGCCAGTATTTATGTTTTTTTCATACACATTCATAACTGTGTCTTTGTTCCTTTGCAGAAAATGAGTCAGAGACTCACAAGTGTGGCCGGTCCTGCCTTGGTCCTCTCACCTTCCACAGCCAGACGGTCGGCAACAAGGTCCGTCTGAGCCATGGCTACTGCGTGGCAGAGAGGACCAGGGACACATTTAAGGACGGCCTGGTGTTTAGCAGCCGCACAATAAAGCCCATGGAGAAGATCCGCCTGCGCATTGAGAAGGACATTTTAAACTGGCATGGGGGTATGCGTGTTGGCTTCACCAATGTCCCGCCCTCATCCAGGTCTCTGCCTCTGCCCACCATGGCCATCCCAAACCTCACCGATACCCCTGGGCACTGGGCCGCTCCTGTGCACGAATCTTTCTGCAATCAGGGCTCGGAAGTAGAGTTCTGGTTCACCACTGGAGGCTCCATGTACGTCACAGGACAGAACAACAGCAAACAGAAGCTGATAAATGGAGTGGATCTCTGCCTGCCGCTGTGGGCCATGATCGACATCTATGGAAACACCTGCTCCCTCTCTCTCCTGGGTGAGTTCACCAGTGCATAACAATGAGTGTTTGTCTACTGCAGGGCCGGTTTTTCTTTGTCTTGTGCACTGCAATCTGACCAGTATTCCCTGCTCAAAGTTAATTTATTGTCTCAACTTTTTGCTGCAGGCTCAAAGAAAGTGACCTGGTCTATGACAAGAACCTCCTGTCCTGCTACTGAACTCCCCACCTCATCGGTTAGCAAGAAACACTACAAGATAAACACTGACATCATTGGCCATAATGTAAACAACGATGAAACCATCTCTTTTCTGGAAGACCAAGAAGGTGAAAATATTTTCTATTTTGGTGTAAAATGTTGGTTTTGTGCATTACTAACCAGAGATAGGGAGGAGGAGGAAGTAATCAACTAACATCTTGTATTTATGGTTTCTCTGTTCAGATGACTGTGTGGTGTGCCTGGGAAAACGAGCCAGAGTAACTCTGCCTTGTGGTCACCGGTGTCTGTGTATCCACTGCTCCCCCAGGTACCTCCAACAGTTTGGCAACTGCCCGCTTTGCAGACACGACCTCAGAGCTCCATCAGAGGAGAAGAGACGTTGGCACGATGCAGGCACACAGATTCACCAGAGCACAAGCTATACAGAGTGATAATGACAAGAAAACACGATGAGAGGAAACTCACTGTGAATGTGAAACTTTACTGAAAATGTTTGTTACACTCACAGCACAATGACATGTAGATAATCTTTTTCCTGTAACTTATCAGTATATTTTACCCTTGTATAATATTGTATATATTAAATCAATCTGTATATTTGTTAAGTTATGTTTTACTGTTTGAAGATATATTTTATATTTTTCCTATGAATATTTAAAAAAAATAAATTTGATATTTCACATGCTCTGATCTTTTGTGTTTTATGTGTCATACAAAATCCTAGAACCTCAAAGTAAGCTTCCGAAAGATAAAGTTGTTAAATGTTTTTTACGAGACTTGGGTCTAAATAAGTGAATTTGACTAAAATTACATTTTGGGCCAAAAGCTGTTACGTCTTGGGCTCAGCATCTTGTTACATTATTGATCAGTTATTACATTTCGGGTATTTAAAAAAAAAAAAAATGTAAATTACATTTTGGATCGTTGTTACATTTCCGGCTCTTACAAGGCTGAATTCAAGGTCAAACTTGACTTGTTAGTTGCAAGGGGATCTTTAAAGCAAATGTTTTTATAAGCACTGCTTTTCATATAAGGTCATGAATAAACCTCTGAAAATAAGAGCACCCTTTCAAAATAAGAGTGTTTAGATTTTAGGAACATGTAAGAATGATTTGTTATTTAGAAAAATGAATGAAAAGTGACTTCCAAAAACAGAAGCAAAGCTGCATGTGCAGCTCTTCAGAGAGATGACTTATTAAACTAAATATTCAGTAACTGATGATTGTTCAGTTGGCACAAAAAGTATAAAGCACGACTGAGTTAATCAAATCAACTATAGTCTCCTGGATGAACATGAATATAATGTTAAGTATTTCTGTTTTTTTAAATGTGAAAGTTCAACAGTCAGCTAGTTTCATTATTATGTTTTTATGTTTTTAAGGCTTTATGCTTTGTATAATTAAGATGGGTTTCGCAGATAATGATTAACAATGCTGGTTAAACAAACAGAGAAAAGGTGTTTTGTAGTCTGACCTTGAGGAATGAATGGAGCTTATGGTGCAGAAAACAAGCACCATCAGCACTGAATGTGTTTTTGTCTTTATTTTACCAAATTGAAAAGGCTCCAGCACTTATCTCTTTGTCTGCTGATTTGCTTGATGAAGGTTGAAGTTTACTGATAACAGAGATCACGTTTTTGTCAGAGACTGAAGATGTGTACACGCATTTGTCTTCACTATTAAACGTGACCCTCATGGTTTACATTACAAGAAATGACAATAACAATCCATCAGACTTAACAGTAGGTTACCATCATCCACCTGTTGACGTCTGATTAGCATCTTTTCATTGGTATGCTTTCTATGCACACAGTTCTTTAAGGTCTTGATGTTCATTTTCTGAATACAAAAATGGCTCTTTTTCTTCTTTTGTATGTATGGACCACATGTATGGACATGAAATTTCACATTTATGAACAAATTTATGAACAAAGAACACTAGAGTTAATTATTACACAGAACAATAGTTACAGTTTGATAGGTACAGTCATTCAATCAAGTAGTCTTTATGGTGCTGCAATAAATGCACTCCTTGTTTGGGCATGGAAATCCCACACAAAGCTCCAGTTAGGAACAGAAAAAAAATCTGTAAGGTTGAACACGTTTTTAAAATTACCTTTATTGAAAGTTGGAAGGGTATTGAACTGGTCAACAAGTGAGAGGTTGTTCTTAATTTGTGATGATTTGTTTTCTTCTTATTTGTTTTCTTTGTCAGAACTCTATTTTTTTTCCCATTAGTTTTTTTGTTTTTGTTTGACTTGTTCTATTGCGCTTTGCATGGTGAACACGGGATGTTTATGCACAAAGTTTGGTAAAATATAATAAAGAGGCACTGACTCAGTCAGTTCTCACTTGTTCCTACCCGCTTTCACACATAAAGTCTAATGTTGTTGTTGTAAATGTAAAATCGTACCACTTTCTTTTCCTTTCTTCCTTTTATTCTTTTCTGGTCTTTTTTTGTATTTGTGCATGGATGTGTAAAAATAAATAAATAAATATAGAAAGGGCGGTTGTGGCTCAGTTGATAGAGTCGGTTGTTTCTCAACAGGAAGGTCAGGGGTTTGATCTCCAGCTCCTGTATCCACATGTCCGATGTGTCCTTGGGCAAGACACTTCACTCCAAGTTGCTGTCGCTGCTTTGTCTGTGGCGTATAAATATGTATGAATAGGATCAGTTACTTCTGATGGACACTTTACATAGCAACCACTGACATCAGTGTGGGAATGGGAAGGTGAGACATGCGGCTTAAGTAGTCAGAAGACTAGAAAATCCCTATACAAGCTCAAGTCCATAATCAAATAAATCATTTCATACGTCATGAATTGTTCATGGACTACTAGGACTGGAACAAACATTTAGTGACTCACTTTTGTTTCCTGTGACAGCAGATATAATCTTTATGATTGGCATCATAAGGGAGTTTTTTGGATACGGTTTTGGTTGTTTTTTTGTTTCTGCATTCATGTCGTCTATGGGATATTTCACATGTGTTCTCATGAGCTATGTCACGCAGCACATTAAAATGACGGACATGCTCCAATTTAATAGAAACAGCTACATGACCAATTATTTGAGTGTCATAAAGCTCTTTTTCTGCAAACCACATTTATAGTAATAACTTGATAATAACTTGACAAATGTCTCAATGTAGAGAGCAGTTTTATTTATAAGTTAAAAACAATGATAACAGAATTCACCTTAAACATTTAAAGCCTACATAACACTCATTATTTCAATTACTGGGACGTGCAACACATTGACAAGTTTAAGTATGACATATTAAGACTCTAATATTTAGACTTGGTGCCTTCAAAGAATTTGGTGTGGTGGCATACTTTGGATTCTAGCGACATCTGTCTGTTATACAAAGTAAGACATACACTTCACATGCAGTTCCTGTTAAAGCAGCAAAGAGGCAGTGTAGGTCTGTTCATCATGTGGATGTCCTCTGCTGAACACAGGCTGATCAAGTCACAGTTCCTTTTTTTTACTGATCTTTGTAAAACAGACTCTAAATTTTAAGTTGAACATCAAAATGATCCTTTTAGTAACGTGTCTGATATATAATCAGACAAAGGATGGGATAGAAATAGCTGTTTTCTGAAACCTGTATCATCAGCCAAAAGTTTATTTGCGGTATAATTGGTTTCTCATCTGAGCTGTGTTCCCATGCAGGCGACTCAAGGTGTCACTGTGGAGCTGCTGGGTGTCCCGATCGTCTTCTCCTGGAGGTTGGCCTGGAGATGGAGAGACAGATTTGACCTTTGGCTGCTGATATTGCTGCCAACCTGTTAAATATTTATCTTGGATGGAGGAGGTGAGTACTTGGAGTGTGCAGGAATCCAACAGGCATCTGCAGACTAATAAAACACCTCAACAGAGGCTTTATACTTATTTACTGTAGTCTGAGAATTACAGCTGATGGCACTGAAGGATGTAAAGAAAGGAAAACAGTAGCTGTAATTCTCTTGGCATGTGCTGCGAGGTTTTCTTCATACTGGGGTCGTCTGTCACTGGAAAAGATGATGGAAATGCTGGAACTTATTATAAGACTGATTGTGTACCTTACAGTAGCATATGTGTATGAATTTCATTAAGAAACACTTTTTTCCTGAATGTAAAGCTTGCAAAGTGACAGGTGAGAAAGACAAGTGAGCCATATGGAATCACAAAAATCTCTTTTTTGCCAGACAGACATATCTAAAGACTTCATACTGTGAAAACAATGTGTTATACTTAAATATATGCCTTAGAGATGTCTATGGAAATTGCCCTCTCTTTCTCCCACGTAAAACACAGGAGGGCGGTGCCACGGAGCCCCCGCCTGTATGGGAATCTCTATTATTTCCAGCTGTGGATGGAAACTATTACTGAGCGCCTTCTCCCTGATGAGCTTTCAAGTGCACGCTCACACACACATGCATAACACACGCCTACGGACACTCAGTCAAACATTCAGACCCACGCTGAATCATTCAGCAGAGAGAAAAGACACCCTGTTGGTCTGAGATAGAGAAAGAGAAAGAGGGAGGGAGGGAGGGAGAGAGAGAGAGAGAGAGAGAGAGAGAGAAGAGCAGCAGAGGATCCCTCCTTCTCGTTCATTCACTTCTTCTCTTCCTCTGCACTGAGGACACCTCTCTGCTCACACTGTAAGTACTGGAAGACTTCTGCTGCTGCTTCAAACTAAGAGTTAATACAAAGAAGAAGTAGATATTCTTAAATTAAAAGGATACAAGTTTTAATATCTCTGTCATGTCACTTCTTTTTTGTAGTTTTTATTCATTTTTAGTTGCCTCTGCTAATGTTTTGAGCATCATGTTTTCCTTCATCACCCAGTTGATCACCAGAAACCGCGCAGACAAACAAAACAGGGATGTTTATCTCTGCTCTGTCATTGTTGTGTCATGTTTTATCAGTTTCTCTCCGCACATGTTGAGCAACAGTTGAGCGGTTGTATGGAAAAGGGCGGCCTTTGCTACTAAAGATGCCAATCTTAAACCGTGTTTGGTTCAAGGGATGGTTATCATTCAGACCTCTGTCCAAAAGCAGCCTCTTGTTTTTGCATTTTGGCTGCTCTGTTTGATTGTATTCTCCCAACAAACTTCTCAAAATAATCATCCTCTGAGGTCCCATGATGATTAATGACTATGTTAGAGTTTGTTTATCCCAGTGTTTCTGCAGACACAGCTCAGAAAAAAAATGTTTGCTGCTAAAATAAACCAGGATGCCTTTGTGTGTGTTCATAGAGGAATTCAGCTATGAGCTGAAACAGCTCTAAACCTGTAGCCTATAGGTGACATACACATGTATATCTCTTTTTTGGATTTATTCCTGCAATAACAACAGATGTGCTGTCTCTTGTCTCTTGAGAAAAAGCCCAGGGGCTATAGTCTATGTTGATTTTAGATTATATAACAGCTTTATGTCATGGGTTGTACACCTGCTTCAGTCATTTGTTGTCAGGTTTTTAATGAGCTTGAGCATGTGACAAACTTGAGGACAGCGTTTGGCCTTTACAGCTCAGTTAATATGCTGCAGAACATCGAGCTGGACTCCCTTAAAAGAAAACATCTCTCTTTCCTCCTGCTCTAACAATGTGTCTTGTGGAGCTGGCATCTGTCAAGCCTTGTGTTTGTTTAACAACGATATTGACACAAACTGAACAAGGATCCACTGTGTAAAAAGGTGTCACGTCCTGAGCCAAACCTCCAATCACCTCTTGCGTGGTTACCTCATTACGCTGCAGAGTGACAGGGTGTCAGATGTGCTCACAGCAGGGTGAAAGTCTGCTCCGGCGGGACACAGATAATGAAGGGAGCCTCTCTCTGACTGCAACAGTGCTCAGCTCCGCCCCGGCCAGGCTCGCCCCTCAGGTTCAGCAGCTCAATTGTTTGGCAAAAACAAGCCTGTTGGAAGAGCCGGCTGGGTAAATGGATCTGCTCTGAGCTGAGCTGCGCTGTGCCAAGCCAGACCACTGAATTATTAAGAAAGAGCTGAGTCCTTCAGTTTCAGGCTGGAAGTGGCCTACACACACAAACACACGGAGAGAGAGAGAGAGAGCGAGAGAGAGGACATGCACTCGGGTAGACCATTGACTGGACCCTGTTAAAATGTCATTCTCTGTGCTCTCTTTGGTTTATCGCCTGAAAAAAAAGAACACACACATGAATAAGACAGCCCAATGCATCATTAAGCAGGTGATTTGCTCTCTCACCTGCATTTTGTACCACGTCCATCAGTCTACCTTTTTATTTTATTTACAAAGATAAACAAAATAGAGCAGATTCAGTAAACAAGGAAACGTATAGAAATACAACACAAAAAAATAGCTTGGGGTTTGAAATATAAAATATGAAAATATAGAAAAATTAAAAATCTATTAATATAAATTCTAACAATTCAAGTCTTGATAGCTTAAATTAAATCATTTTTATAATTATAATATAATTTTCTTACACGCCTCAGACTCAAAACCGTGAGCAGCTTAAGATTGCGGGTTTTGTTCTCTTTATATTTATACGACAGAACTGCAGACAAACTGGAAATCCCGCTATTATTTAGGCTCGTTTTGTGATTAAAACAGTCACAGTGAATTGTAGAATTATGTTTCATTCCTTTGACTGTTTTCAATTATGTGGTTTGAACAACCATTTTGCTGGAATTTGAATGCTGACTGACTTATCTGCACTTACTTTCCCTATTTGAATCATTTAGACAGCTGTCAGTTTTTCCTCTCTTAACCTTCACAGAGCCTGTCTAGTGTATGTGTTTGTGTACGTGTATGTGTGTGAGCTCCTGCAGGACTTGTGCTGTCAGACGTGGACTACCCAGCGCAGAGTAATGTCTCTGTAACACTTCCAGAGCTACTGAAACAGAAACAGCTCATTCCCTCTCTTTGGTGGGCCAGAGACCTGGCTTTTGCTCCCCCATACACACACACACACACACACAAACACACACAAACACACAGACCCACACATAACAAATACACACAAAAGCAGAAGGGGGCAAGCATGGGTGATATAAAGTTAAGGAGGGTTGGGGGGGGGGGGGGGGGGGTGTCATGAAGTGACTGTGCAGAGTCTGGGAGGTGGAGGTGATGAACTATTTGCGTTAACCCTGTGCTGTGAAATATCACCTTATCACAACAATGGGGCTGGAGAGCTGAGAGCAGGGTGCCTTTTGAACAGGGGGCCGAATGAAGTGGGGTTGCTATGGCGATGGCTGTCAACCGGGAAGTCTTGTGCGAGAGGGCAGGGCAGAGAGAGAGAGAGAGAGAGAGTCCTGGCCAGGATAAGAGAGAGAGAAAGAGAGAGAGAGAGAGAGAGAGAGATCAGGGAGTTTAGTGTGCAGTGTTGTTGACGTGCAGGCAGACAGAGAAGAGGTGTGAGCTCACTTGTGGTTGCTACTTTTTAAGGTGAGTACACTCTTTCTCATGGGAACAGGGATTTAAATCAAAGGGTGTGATTTTAAGCATGGAGGAACTTAAATCTGCTTGGACGTTTTTTTTTTATAGGTCGAGTAACCTGTCTGACAGCTCAGGCCTCCTCAGGATTAGTGTTGCAGATTTACCCGAGAGCAGCGTCTTAAAACAGGGTTAAAATCGTAGATCGCCTGTAAACAGGTTGACCAATGTTACTGAATGTGAGTAGCTTAGCCACCTGTGTGAGTTAAATGTCTGTGTGTTGTTGGCAAGAGGGAGAGGGCACAGTGGGCAGTGTTTCCCAACATGTCATACTTCATTTCTCTGCCTGTTGTGATCACTGATACTTCAGTGGAGTCAGAGGAAATCCTTGTTTCCGTCAGAGCGCTTCTTTCTCGTCTGACTTCAGCTTCCAAAAGTGGTAATGGCCTGAAATCAGGACGGTTCAATCATCACCGGTGGCTCCCCTTCATGTCAGAGTGATTTCCACAGCGGGCTCTGATTCCCTTTGTGATATAACTGAGGGGTCCGGCTGCCAGGCCTCATATCCACAGGCTGAACTCAGCTTTCAAGATGCAGGGTGACAGGCGTGGGGATTTGTGAGATTTCTCTGCAGTGAGCATGTGTGTTTTCTCATGCTTTATCTGACACATTTTTATTAGTTTTAACTTTAAAATTGAATCAAATAAGGACATATTTGTTGAAGTACCGGTATGTGTTCTTGTAGGAATGAATCTGATAAAAGAACTTCTTGGCCAGAGAGAGAGGGTCTTTGATTTATCACCCCACAGCTTCTCCTGGGAACACATCGCCTCCCCATTGACAAGAAGCACACAGGCCGGAGGAGCACCATACAAGGTGGTGAAATACTTCCCTCCTGATAAATGTGTGTATCCCCCAATAACCGCATATCATAAACTCTCTGCTGCAGGACCTTGTATGGGCTGCGTCCGCACATCTGTTAAGATGCAGAAGGGCAGCAAAGGGCCTCTGACATCTCTCACATAGCTGCAGAGTGACTCATTTTCATGTGTTTAGAAATAAATGCTCACTTTATTTATTCGGCAAATGCGCTTGTAATTACATTCTCACCACTTTTTTAGGGCTTGATTCCGTGGGTTTTACGAGCTCATTATGTAACTTGTTGGTCTGCAGTAACATTGTGTACGTGCAAATGAATAATAAGACTTTAACCTTCTACCTGCCACATTGTGTTGAGTTCATATCCAGGAGATAATCACTGAGACAATTTCATCCTGTTTTGAACATTGTATATAACAAGGTTTGAGGTTAAATGTATGCAGGCAAGTGTCACCCCCAACTTAATGTCCACCTTCAGAAAATATTGGGGTTTTATTTTGGAGATTTCCTTCATGCATGTGAGCAGGACTTAGATTCATACATGGGACAAATGTGTGCTGAAGTTCCCACCTAAAGGAGTCAATGATTAACTCGGCAGCCAGCAGCCTGCACACAGAAGCAGACAACAACACTGGTGCTAATGAATGAGGATCCATTCACCAGTGACACTTTTCTTTGTTTTTATATCAGTCTCTCTGGACCCTCAGTCATTCTCCCTGCTCATCCCTGACACACTCTCCACCTTCACTTGTTGTACAGATGATATTCAGACAGTGTGAGCGCAAATCATTGCTTTGCCACACATCGCGGAAGTTCATGGGTCAACGCTGGGACAGTTATTCATTAGAGCATGTGTGGTCACCTTGACAGCCTTGTGTTAGGGACAACAATGCAAGGAGCTCTGCATGAGGTGCAGTAGGAGGTCATCGGAGTTCAGGAGCTTCTCAGAAAGACCTGGATGAACTTTTCTGCAGAAGAAATTGAATGTTAGAAGCCGGAAATTGGACGAATAATGAGCTGTGAACTGTTCTGACCTCGCAGGAAGTTCACTTGTGATGTTTACCGTGCTTGAATAAGAACTGTAAGGTGAATATTGTTACTATTGTTATTGCTACTTTTGCCTAACTATTGTGTTCCCCAGCTGTAGAAGCCTCCCATAGAGTTTCAAAGGAATCACAGGGGTGTGGTGAGTTCACTGACCTCCTATCTGCTGAGTAGGTCTGCTCTGCCTCAGCAACTTCAGATAAAAGTCTGGTTCCTCATCCGCTCCTCATGGGTCAAAAAGGAGACAAAAACGTGCTAATTCTTTTCTCACGTAGCATGATTTTTTTTTCAAACAACATACACTATTTAGAGGATGTTGATGGAAATGTTTGACTTCTGTTTCATATGTCAGTTTACAGAGTTTAGTAACATCTGGCCCGATGCTTCCAGAGACCGGATGACTTTCCCCAGGGCAGAGGAAGAGATTTCCATGCTGAAATCCCTTGATTCTCGTATCGGATGTCCTCAGTTAGCCTGTGTGGAAACTAAATGTAAAGCAAGGGTCAAATGCTTCCTGGAGTACCCCGCAATTTCCGTAAGCTGGACATTTGTAATGCTAGTCATTTGAAAGTCTGAAGAGAACATCATCAGCTGAGTTGCACATGGGCATTTTTACAGCTCTGTTTTTCCTGATCCTGCGGAGATAATGAACCTCTCACCTGGCAGGAGTTGAACTTGTAAATACGTGGGCTATTAGGTTCATACATTTCAGACAGACAGCATCATGCACTCCATGTGTGGCTTGGGTCTGCCTCCCTTGTTGAGTCTCAGTAATTATATAAGAATGCACCGAGAGCAAACATGGAGAGAGAACCAGACCTCTGTGAGGGATTTTCTAGCTAGATATGAACACTGATTCTTCCTTTTTAGGTAGGATCGTGTTTGTAGTTTTCGAAGGGGAAACGCATGCAACACAGGGGAATTCTCTGTTGGATTTGACTCCCCCAGAGAAATGAGAAACAGAGACAGTGTCATGACATGAGCTTACTCATCAGAGTGTTACATCAGTGAAGCGGCTCTTCAGATTTGGACTTCAATGGATTACAGATGGCAATGACACTAAGATGATCTGGAAGTAGCCTATATCATTTTTTTTTTCAACAATTTTAAAAATTGTTAATAAATATAGAGATTCTAGGGGAATTTGATAGATAAAGTTTAATTTAAGCCATGTTGAAACTAGCCAGCTACCCCAATTAGTCCCCATGGTGAGTCTGTGAAATCAGTCATATAATGTCTTGTGTGGCTTTCCAAACCTGCTGAAAAAAGAACAACGTCATCCGGTGTCTATTTTTAACGTTATCTTGACCGTCCTAGGCCTAACATTATTTTCTTTAAATTAATGAAATAATAAAAATCCTACAGGTTGTTGTACTATATTAAAACAACCTGCCTGGCTGAGTTTTAAAAGACGCTGCTGGGTTGCATTCTGGGAAATGTAGGACCCGGTTCTTTACTTTTGATCCATTTCCTACTATACGGTCAAAGTATTCTGATTTTGCAGCTGTAATTAGGATTATGTCTCATTTGAGCCCCCACAACATGAGAAGCGTCCCCTGATAAAGTATAGTTTTAATCTACATTTATTGATGGATCTGTTTACATTCAAAAACGATAGTAATTTAGAAATGCACAAATATACACACACACACACACACACACACACACACACACACACACACACACACACACACACACACACACACACACACACAACACACGCACACACGCACACACATCGTTTTCTGTTCATGAGTGTGAAGGGACCTTTATAGGGATCTGCAGCCTGCTGAGAGGAGATCTGGTGTAAATAAGAACCAGCATGTCAGACATGTTGTAAAAGAGATTACTTCAAGCCCTTATTTTTTAAATGTGTCTTGTTTGCAGTGTATCCTATTGTCAAATGGATAATGAGCTCACTGTGATTGCTTTGGCCCGTGATAGGTCATCTGTCATGCCTGAGCTGTAATGGTATTGTGTTGACACAATCCCATATTTTTCCTCTTATGTAATGCCATTTATTGGAGGATGATGACTCCAATAGAGCGTCATCGGTGTCTGGAAGCAGGAACACTGATTCTATCACTGTTCCCTATAACGCTGTGCACCGAGACACAAAGTGAGTTAAGTTTTCTTGGTCCTGACCACAGTGATTATAGACTCTAATGTTCAGCTGAAAATGCCGCATGGAAAACTCATCAGGGAAGTTGTGTTGGACTGATCTCTTCCTGTAGCAGCCTGGAGCAATACTTGGTTAGAATCTTCTTGTAAAGTTGCATTTGATCAACATTCAATCCAAGTATTTTTTTCTGCATTCAAACTAAGTATGGATCTGCAGTGTCCAGGGCTGCAGAGATGCAGGTCTGTACGTTAGCTCTGGTTTCCACGCTAACACAGTTATTATGAGCCAATTAGCCGCTGTAGATGAGAGTGGTCTGCATCATACAGTAGCGGAAATGTCTCCCCTCCTCCTCTTTTTACTCTTGTCTTTGATGTCAAACAGAAGGCCCAATCTGTTTTTCTGAGGTCTAATTCATTCAAGGCTGTTCTTCACTTTCAGAAGCCAACCTCTTCCATCATCCAGACTCTTTAAGTCCGGGTCATTACAGCATTGTATGACTGGGAAAAGTGAGATGGGTATGTGAGTCAAACTCACTGTTTTGGGTGGGTTTTTTCCTTGGAAACAGGGAAAACGCTGGGTGACGCTGACTTTCCCTCTTAGGAGTACTAGTGGGATGGGATAATGGAACAGTTGTCAAGTCTGCCAGGATGTAAAATGTGATTTATGACAAAGGCTTTGTGGGGTTAAAAGAATCAGTGACTCAAAGGGTTAATAAAGGGCAAGCTGCTGGATTTAGAATTTATGGTATAGGAGATACAATCTTCAGATAATCTGCTTGTTTTCATAAACATTGGTTGGATAATGCTAAAGAAAAAAAGAACACAGCCACAACCCTTAAAGTCCCTGACAAACATGTCATGTGGATTGTACTTTGAGTAAAAAAGTATGTATCTTCGTTTTTCATCCTGAGTAAGTGCAATGTTTTATTTCACATAAAGATCTCAGAGTCTTTGTCTGTGTTCTACATCCTGAACCTCTATTTCAGGCTCTGTTGGAAAAAAGGTGATGTCACTTTTAAAAAAAAAGTTATTTCTGTGGTTCCAGTTATGGGATTGTTACAAGCTGGGAGGAAAATAGTGAAGCAGATTTTCAAGTTGTTGATTCTTAAAACTGCTGTTTTACCCTGTAGTTTAATTTTTGATTGTATTCTCATGAAATGTGAGTAAAGAATTAGAGGATAGAACAAAATTGTCATGACTTTAATCCTTCTGATAAGAGTGGGTTGCATGGATTTAAGAAAGTTATTTCATGAAGCGTTATTTTGTTTGTCTTTTACAGATTCTTTTGATGCTGGACAAGAGTTTGAGGACCATAACAGATCACATGCAGTCTCAGGTAATAATTCATTCATAATTATGCCTAATATGGAAAATGTATCTTTTTACCGTATGGTCATGTTTGAATCAGCAAAGTCGAGAAATAAAAACACTTTTATGTGTAGCACAGGTCAGCTCCAGGGTCACAGATATTCGCCTTTACTATACAGTTTTATCATATACGAGACACAGGGTCTTTCCCATGACCCCCGACAACAAATGAGAGGGGACCAAAGCACCTGATTCATACTCACAGAGGAGCAGGACTTGCAATCATGAGTGGAGGGAGCAAAAAAAAAAAGATCACCATGGAGACCACAAGACCACTGCTAACCCTGCTGAACTTTGAGGTCGACATCCTTGGCCCCTTTCCCCACCTCTGTTGCACCCGGCTCCGCCCCCCTGGCTGCAGAACAGGGAGGCCAGCTGAATGGGGAGTTAATAGGCTCATAATGGTCCTCTCCTGTTTCAGAGCCCCCTCCATGCACGTTGAATGAGGCCTTTCTGCAGTTGTGGTGAGGGAGATGATGAAGTGGGAGGAACATCACATCCCACTGCTCCTATTTTAAATAAATTAGAAGCCTTTTCATCAGAGAACCTCCTCCCCACCCCCCCACAGAGGCCAGTTATTCTCTGAAGAATAGCCAGACAGCTAACAAGTTCACATGACCTCCCCTAGAGAGCGATGTTTACGCAGGCAGACAGAGGGACATGACAGGAGCAAAGTGCCCACATTGTTTTTGTTCATCCATATTTCTCTTTTCCTCTGTGTTTAGCAACGCACGGAAGAGGTCAGAGATCAAAATGGCTCCCGGATTATCTTCTTCGAGGAGGCCAGAGGTTCCTCCGATCAGCAGCAGATCTTGACGGCTCCAGAGATGACCCATGAAGTGATCATCTCACCTGGACTCCCTACACCTCCTCTGAGCCCTTTTCGCTCTGCAGGGCTGCCATACCCTGAGGTGAAGGTATGCATGGTGACGTCCAGTCTGGGGTCTAACACTGAGGTGGAGGGAAGGAATTCAGTAAACAAGTGCTCCCCCCTGTGGAAAAAGGATGGATCACATGCTTAACCATCAGTCATAAACATTTTGCTGCAGTTGAAAGTTTCATTACTGTTATTGCATGGGTTGCTAATAATATAATTCTGCTTTTTTTCCCCCAAGGTAACAGATGTAAATGGAAATGGACCAACAAATCTCAGCTTTGGATCCTACTATGGCCCCTCACAATCTCCTGGTAAGTTTTTGACCACTTACATACAATGCAACTTACATTTCTGCGCTTCTCAGTGCTTTAACTTCAACCAAACACAGCACTTTCATTTCAACTTAATACTACGTATTCAAAGCCTGTACTTTTAAATTGGCCCAACAAATAAATTGACTTCTTCCACTTAAATTGTAACTTTTACATCTTCACTTTAACATTTAAACAATTACTTGTTGGTTTAAACTTTGACTGTCCCCTCAACTATTTCAAATGCCAAAAATATGTAAATGTGCTTAGACAGTTTTCAAATGTTTTTAATATTTTAAACAATTCAAATCTTTGATAAAAGAAACTAATAAAACCAGTTCAGGCGTATAAATTAAAAAGGCTTTCGTTGAGGTGTCAGTTAATCTGCAATGAGAGCAGTTTCAGTCAATTATACAATGACAAACACTCTGCCCATTTTCTATACATAACCCATGCAGCTCAGTTTCTTTAGTGCACAGCATCCTCATCCCAAAAACATACTCGATGTCCGTTGCTTTTGTCATTGCGCTCACAGCACTCTCAGTTTAAAGTTAAATTCTTGGAGGGTGGAGGAGAAACTATGTACATCTTACTTACACTGTCTTGTAACAGTGTTTTAACAGCGTTAAAATGCTCATTAGTTGGGTAAGAGATGAAGCAGTCCAAGAGTTGGGGAGAAATGGAGTTGATATGTCAGTTGATGTGTTTGCAGTAGACATGGATCTTGGCTCAATCAGGGCTTCTTAGGATGTGGTATTTTTCAAGCAAATCAATCCCTGAAATCATGAAATGTTTAAACAACAACATAGTTACTTTGAAATGATTGTGTTGACTGTAAGCAGGCGGACTCTCCAATGGCGTGCCGAGCTCTTCCACTCTACCTCGCAGCTGGACTCCCAGCAGAGAGGAGAGGCTCATCAAATTCTCTGGAATCGGACCTGTGGATGAAACTGGGATGCCCATTGCCTCCAGATCAGTAAGACAAACATAATTTTAAAAAAATATATATATATTTGGGCATAAATAATTCATTCTATTGCACAAATTCTCAAAAAGGTTGTTTTATACTTGAGTTGACCTTTTTTATGCTCTTACTGCTACACCCAGTGTGCTGTTTTTCTCAAAGATTTCTTAACCTACTGCACCCTGTCCTCTTCTCTTCAACCAGAGTGTGAACAAACCCAAAGACTGGTACAAGAGCATGTTCAGACAGATTCACAAGAAGCCAGAGGGTAAGCACGCTTCTCCTCCTCCTTCTTCTCTCACAAACACAGCAGCAGCAGAGAGAATTCCTCTGTCAGTGTCAGATACCTCAGAGGTGATCCAGCATCCAGATTACTGCAGATCAAAATAAGACATGATGAAGAGCCCTTAAGTGTTATGTCACGTCTACTTATTAGTTCTGACAATAATCCAGCTTCTTACCCCCCCCCCCCACACACACACACACACACACACACACACACACACCTGGAATCCATAGCTCTTCACTTGTCTCCATTACTTGTTGTGTAATAGAAAGATGTTCAGTGTTATTTGTGTTGTTTATGGCACCATCGCAGCTCAGAGCTGGTTTACATGGATTCTTTTGGATCAGTTTTGATTTACATTAATATTTCAACGCTCTGCAACTGATGTGCCTTCTTATGAGATGTTGGATTGAGATGTATTGCTACATAGGTTATATTGAGTTCTAATGATCTTGTTGAACAAATACAAGACTTTCATGTCTCTGAGAAAAGCGACATTGATTTAATTAATTCATATTTTACTTTGTTAAATCTTTGTAAAAATGTAATAACTTCAGATCAAACAATCTCCAAGGCTGCTGAATACATCTTAAGCCAACTACAAAAAAGACAGATTTGATTATGAATGTAGATTTTGCTACTGTTTAAGCTACAATGACAAACAAGGCCAACATTAAGTTTAATAATTCTATTGTTTACTTTTTATCACTATTAACATTATGGTGTAGGTGTCAAAGCATGCTGCGGAAACAACCATTGTTTACATTTTTTAACATCAAAGTTTCACAGTTAGCACTACAGTACTCAGCTGTTTCAAGGTGCAATATTTATGTTTCTTTGATGTTTCGCCTTCAATCTGAATGTCGTGGACGCATAATAGGGGGACAAAGTGATCCCCCTCTGTACTGTATTCAGAGGTAGTAAGTGACAGAGGTGTTAAACAGGCGAAACCAGATCAGCTGAGTCAACAGGAGAGCACCCACTGTGTCGTGTTTCTGCAACGCAGAAACGTGTAAATTCAAAGACTGGGACAAATATATTACATGGTTGCTGAATCAATATAAATGTACAAAGAGGTAATGACCACTGAGCTTGGTTAGGAAAATGTGGATATGCAGTCTGAAAAGGATTAGTGATACATTGTACTTTTAAAAGAAAACAGGAGGAGATTTTTTTTTTCTTTGAAAATACTACTTATGCATGTTCAGGACAAGATCAGCAAAGAGAAAAGACATACCACTTTGTCCACAGGGGGCGCAAACAAACAAACAAAAGGAAGGATCCTCATTGAAGTGATATTATCCTGAACATAAATGACATTTTAGTCTCACTGCAAGACAGTACTGCTATGTTGTGAATAATGATCAAAGTGTAAATATGATTTTTCAGTGTGTTTGATCTATGTAAAGTAAATAAAGAGTCTCTTTTTGTTGACCAGAACTCGAGGAGGAGTCAGAGCAGTGGTCAGCTGAACGTAAGTGAATCCACCAAAGTCCACATTGTTCTGTCCTGTCCAGTTACATAAGCAGTTTTTCTTAAGACTCATTGCACTGATTCACTGATCTGCAGGCCTCCAGCTATCTGCCCACACAGAGGACAATAATGAAGCAGACAAGAATCTCTTCAGACTAACACCCTATGGAGCTCTGCCAGACTGGTGAGTTGGGATTGATGTACCTGCTTCAGGGAGTGGGGTAACTGAAATTGTTGCATCATGCAAAGAAAGAAGACAGGCCAACTGTCAGGTACATAACGGCAGATTTACTATTGCTCACTTTCACACCTTTGGGCAGTTTAGTCTTGAGTCAACTTGAGTAGCAATTTAAAAAAAAAAAACTTTGTTAGACAATTCATTCCAGAGGTCATATAAAAGGAAGATAGGAATTCCACTCTCAACTCTGTCCTCTAAATATGTCTAATAGTGTAGCTAGAGCTAACAGCCTGTTACCTTAGATAGATCTTGTGTTTTTGTGATATGTCGACAGAGCTCGCCTTACTGTGAACAGTTGTATCAATCTTTATCTTACTTCCTGCAACAAGTTCACATAACTCCCAAAGCACCAAAGTACCTCTGCACCATAGTAGTTAACAGTTTGGTTTCATTTAGAAATCTTCAATGTAGCAATACATGAATTTAACAATATAACATTAGGTTAAACCAGGCAGCTAACTTGGTTGCAAAAGTTTCCTTTTAATACATAACAAAGGTAAATTATCTGCAAATGTAGCTATAGTTCATGTACATGTATGTACTCTTGATTCAACAGCATCAATATGAGATACTCAAACATCAGATATGCTGCATGTAAGGTCTTACATCAATACAAACCAAAATTCAGGGTGAGAGCAGTAGAAGTTGAAATTGTGGGACATACAAGTTTGGATTTGTTGCTACAGGTTTGCACAATGAAGCCATGATTAAAGTGTTGTCCATGGTGTGTGTGTGTGTGTGTGTCTGTGTGTATGCTTGGGTGTTATGTTTCAGGAGTGAAGATGTAGATAAGCTGTCAGACCCCGGAAAGCAGCACCCTCAGCCGAAGAGCATATTCGACTTTGAGCCTGGAAAGAGCAGTGCCTCAGTGAGCCACAGCCAGGTAAGACCTCACAGGTTTAGAAAAAAGATGAGATTTCACTTTAATGCCAGCAGAACAAAATGTTTCTGCAAGTTTCTTTGACCTACACATTTTTCAAGCATTGTTTTCTGGCTCTAATCGATGGGATTCTTTGTGTTTCTCGCTCTGTTTTCCCAGTGTGGGTCTTAAGAACAGGTTTGAGGATCGGCACCTTTTCTTTAGGGATTAGCATCAGATTTCACCTTCTCACGCGAGGACAATTACAAATGTGGTCTTCCTGTCTCTTCCCACAACATGTGCACCCTTTATTTCTTTCATCCCATCCAAAAGGCTTCAAGCTTTTGTTCATTTAGCTTTCAAACAAGAAAAGGCAGATTGAAGTGTTCATGTTGGTGTTTAACTGAGAGTCAGTGATTTACAAGCTGGTGAAGCCGACACTTAAGTTTATCCACACCTGGGGATGTGCTTTATTGTCTTGTGTATTGTGCAGTGTCCAGGAGCTTTTATGAAAGAGTGTGCAGCCGTTTGTGTGTGTCTCTTTGTGTCTAAACAACCCTGGTGAGTAACAAAGTGCTGTCACTCATTTCACAATAATAACGGCTCTTGTTACAATGCCACAGATCTGGTGCAAATTGTGCCTTGTTTCTGCGCCTGTAAAGAAAAGGAATCTTTGTTTCCACTCTCCCCCGGGAGCCGAGGTGTCTTGTGATCCGAATTATGGTGTTAACCTCTTGTGGTGTTTAATGGCTCACAGCATGGAGACTTATTTCATTTCCTTGTCATGACAGCCGGCCTATGTTCAATCCTCTGGATGGTGTTTAGAAAAGCAGCGTGCAGACCATATCAGGTGTTGTACAGCTTCACAGTGACACTACAGTCTGGGATCGTGAGTGAGGAAGACTCCCTGCGAAGGGGAGGGGTTTGGCGTAGAGAGAGGCGCTTTCAGCCAAGGTTTTACAGAACAAAAATGAAAAAGGAACAAGGGGTCTGAGGTTCCTGCAAGCAGAGCCTTTAAAGGAAAGCTTGGTAGAAACAGATTCTTGCTTTGTATTTATTTTTTTGTAAGGAGAAGGTGGAACTAGTATCACCAGCCAGTGCAATCAGTCATCTTAATATAGATGAAGCAACATGTGGGTGTTGTCTCCTGTCTCTGCTTGCACTGTGATATCAAGACTGTTTCCAGATAAAGTTGACAAGTGTAAATTTGCCTATAAATATTCTTGCATTCTAAAAACTAAAAATGTTGTATACACTGGATAATCAAGACTTTGACATGCTCTGATTTTAAATGCTTTTCTACTTGACCTTGAAAACTCCATCAACTACGTTTTAGTTGAATATATAAATATTCCATTCTCCTCCAAATGCCTCTCATATTTAGGAGACGTCTTGATTGTTCTTCCTTACATGGTCGGTATCCAAAACTTCTAGAGATCGGAGCTTTCTCCTAAACAGCTCCTAAACAGTAATCAGTTAAAAAAAACACATTTATTTAGGAATTCAGGTCCCAAAACTAGATCTGAACAAGTTCTAAACACCTCACTTTTAAAGGGTCTGGATTGTTTCCCCTACTCATATGTCTACAAACAACACCAGTTAAGTGATATTTCCTTTTCTATCCTCAGGCCTGTTCATCCCAGAAGACACAGCCTGAGAAACCAAAGTCGTCTTCAATTGAGGTGAGCGACCCCTGACATCGTTTCAGCTTCTGCTGCTCTGCATTCATTATATCAAGGTGTCATCTTATTGAAAAGGGAAAAAAAATAACAGCTCCAAAAGTCATATTTTTTCAGTCCGCTTTACTAGCATTTTAATCTTGCGCTTTATACTCCGTCTCGGCTCGGTCTCAGGCCAGTCTGGTCTCTGAGCTGAGCAGATTTGAGGCCGAGCTGGACTCTGAGATCCAGGGCCTGGAGAGGCGACTTTCCCAGAAGAAGCAGCATCGAGGCCGGGGTGAGGTACTGAGCCCCCGTCCTGACTGTTACTGCTAAATCAACCCTCACCCAAAAGTAGCAGAATCCTCACCCACTTTTACCCACCTTCTCACCCTTAGTGCAGTGACTGAGTGAGACCCTCCCTGCTTGCTAGCTTTGACCTCATTTGTTGTTTTTTCCACTGTGACATGGATGATAGTCCTGGAATCTCCTGCCTGCATGGCACTTGCCTGCGAGATCCCCTCCCCTATGTTTTGAGAATGCAAATTTGGCTGCAAAAAATGAAGATCTCTCTCAATCACTGTCCTTTAAATCATGTTTTTATGATGCTGTTTTGCAATCACACAGTGCTTGTTTACTTGAATGAAACCCTTCAATCAACCTGTTTGATTCTCCTCTTATTCCTGTGTGATGTGTGATTACATCTACTTGTGCTGTGATTTGACTGAAATCACAGACATCTGAGATGGGTAGTGAGTGCTGATGTTTTTTATTTTTTAGCCTGAGGAGGATAGGACCCAGGGGCTTTCTTGCTCCTCTGGGAGTGGTCAGCACCTCTACTGTGTCTGAGTTGTTGTGAGATTTCCTCTGAGCTGTGAGATACAGTAAGCTGCAGGGAGCAAACTATGTTGAACTGTTCACTCTGCTTTCAGGAGGCCACAGGCAGGGATACAGTGACGGCTACAAAGACTGGAACTACAAACTACAGGTCAGTGACTACAAAACTAGCCAACAGTGTGTATCTTATTAGTTTGAATGATATAATGCTGCTTTTTATTACATCTTTACTGACCTATTTTAAGGAAGAATGTTGTAATGATATGACATTCCTCTTAAAGACTAACTAGAAGTGTTTTTTCCTGCCTTTCCTTTTTTTCTGATACATAATGTACCAATAAGTTAAGATAAGTTAATACTTAGAGGGGGTCATTAAAGACTGTTAAAGTCGATTTAAGGCTTTAAATATCACCAAAACTGTGTTTCTTGGTCATTTTTGGCTTTTTAATCATTTTGGTTCAAATCTTAAGCACTTTTTTTTCTGTCTATTATAGTCTAACAATGCTCTCAAATCATGTTACTGGTTTTAAGCAAGTCTTAAAGTGATGTCATTTCCATTATGTGGATTGTAAAGGTTAATGGGAGGTCAATCAGAACGTAACAGACCTCCTCCGAGCCGAACTCACAGCCTCTTAATCCACTTTGATATTGCCTCATCAGGCGAGAGTAACTTTACAACATTTCTTCCTGCAGTTTTTTATTTATTATAAGAAACGCGCTGTGATTGGACAGCATGACCATCAATACTCTGCAGGGTACCTGTTCTGTTATTTTTAATCAGGTGACTCTGTGCTGGACTCTGTTAGGAAGCTGTTGAACTTTAACAAGTTGAGGCTCAGTATTTGTTACTTCAAACACCAGGCTGCACTCCACATTTCTCACCGTGTGTGTCATGCTCTTTGCAAGGATTCTCGCTGTTGTTTGCTAAGCTGAGTTCACGGGTTTTGACCTTTTCTGGCAGGGTGGGATGAGGGGCTTTCTTTTAAAGAGCTTGTTGCTAAGGACATGTGTAACTGAACAGCAAAGTAGTCTTTTTCTTTTTTTTTTTTACTGTTTCCTGTTATGTAGACAAGCTGTTGCATGAGTCCCAGCTTTTAATATACTGAAAACAAGCCAACTTCATATAGAAATATTCAAATAACTTCAGAAGAAGTAGACTGATGGCTCTGATCATGAATGGATAATTTAAGCGCCAAACTCCATCTAAACCAGATTTTCAGTTCAAGGATAACAACATGAGTCATGCAGTTATCATCTGTGTGATCGTTTAGCTGTCTCGTTCCTCGTCTCATCCCTGTCCAGTGTATGAACAAGCTGCAGCTGTGACCAGATGTGTTGTACAGTAAATCTGCAGGGATAGCACACACACACACACACACACACACACACACACACACACACACATGCACACACACACACACACACACACGCACACACACACACACACACACACACACACACACACACACACACACACACGCACACACACAGGCCCTCACAGGATCAGTGTTTGTATTTTAGTGTGTATTAAGGTCCTTTGATTTTATCAGAGACCCATGGTTGAAATACACAGTGACAGTATTTTAAACATTTAAAGAGTACATTTTTCTTCACTTTTTCAGAAATTCATCAGCATCAAAGCAGCCTGTCCATCACTCTGTTGGCACATCATCATCAACCTCCACTCCCACATATGGTAAACATGGAGGTTCATCACGTTTGGCTCCACACCACACATGCACTTTGTGATTTTCCCATTAACTTTCACTATTTTGAACGGTTTGCAGTCCATTAATGGATCATGTTCTGCTATTCTTTCAACTTGCTGACCCACCAAAAATAAATGTTCACATTCAGCCTACAGACCAGGCTGCAGATATTTGATGAAAGCTGTTAGTAATCTAATAAACTCCAAAGGTCCCATGATTCTCTCTCGTTCTGCTCTGGTATTTCACATTTGAGATTTAAGAGGCTGCTGGTGTGAACGTGGAAAGCTTTCACAGCCCCCCCCTCACTTTAGGATCAGCTGTAGATGGGTGGGGAGGAAGCCCACGAAAATAGGAAGTGGAACACGGAAGACCTGATTAAAGATTAGCTTTATCCAATTGTTTTCACTGGAAATTAGTACAGAGAGAGCCAACACAATTTTTTCAAGATCCTTTTTTTGTTTTAAGGCTGTTTTTCCATAGCAACACCTTCAAAAACAACAAAAGCTGAATCAAAGAGTGCACGTTTCAGACTCCATTCAAGCCATTGTGTCTTTTCTTCCACAGTAGATCGTCTTTCGCCTGCAAATGAAACCATGGAGCTCCCGCCTAAGAAAGAGGAGAAAAAGGTCTGTTTCTAGAATATTTTTTTGTACTTTAAAAAGCTAGACAAATCTTTAAGAATCCATTTTGCAATGTGGTGTTCAGTTGTGGCATTTTGTTGTATTCGTCTGAGTACATTGTGAATTGTTCTCATAATACCTGAATCTGAAAAATCGCCCCAAAACTGAATGGTATGTTTGTTTTCCAGATGAAAGCAGCACGTGCCAAGTTCAACTTCCAGGCTCAGTCACCAAAGTGAGTTACAGTTGGAGTTGATATAATAAATATGCTAAGTCCTTCTGTGCAAGAAAACAACAGTCTAACAACAAGATATAATTGTGAAACAGAACGTTCTGAGCTAGTGTCTTCATTCTGATATTTATGGGATGTTCCTTCTGTGTGTCTAGTTATGCTTTTTTTCCGTCCTTCAGGGAGCTCATGCTGCAGAAAGGGGACATTGTTTACATCCACAGGCAGGTAGATGCAAACTGGTTTGAAGGAGAACATCATGGGCGAGCTGGGATTTTCCCCACGACTTATGTGGAGGTGAATTTCTTAACATCTGCTAAATAACCACACTTTTTTATTGCTTTGTGCTGGTCCATTCAAAAGACCCTCCGGTACTGTCTCAAAACTCTGTTTTCTGTTACTCACAGATCCTGCCTCCGACAGAGAAGCCAACTCCAATAAAGTCTCCCACTCTTCAGGTGTTGGACTACGGGGAAGCTGTAGCTCTGTTCAACTTCAACGCTGACTTACCTGTTGAACTGTCTTTTCGTAAAGTGAGTGTTGCAGACAATTACTCTCTACATGAAACTTTAGATATCAAGGAACTCAACACGTCAATTTGGTGTACAAGTCACTTTTGGGCATAAAAGTCTTATTAGCCATTACAGACAGATTCTTTTCAGAGTCTCGTGAGAAATAGATAACACTCCAATGTCTCTTTGCTAAATTGGAGACTACAAGCAGATTGTTGGTTAAGACAAAAATGTTTAGGCTTGGCTGAATTTAGCGTAAAGGCTGGAAGACGGAGGGATGCTGCTTGGCAGACTGTTATAAATTAACCTATTTAAACCTCAAAAAGCACACTAATTAACACATTTAACATCGCTGCAGTTATACACAGGGCTGGAAAGTGACTCTCTCTAGTTGGAATGCTAAGCTAAGCTAGCCGTCGTCTGTCAATAGGCTATGTAGCTTCAACATGCTGTTTTTATCGGAAACTGGTAACTCCAGCCTTAGTTCATTTAATTTCATTGATTTTATTTGTAAAGGGACCATTTACAATATGAAACATAAATGTTGCCATTAGAATCATTTTACCAGAGTATGCTTAAAGCTCATTTACATCAACTGTATCATGTCACAGTTGAAACATCACATACCATGCCCAGCTTAAGGCCAAAGATAAATGATGTGACATTTTTAAGAATCTGCCCTTGTTCAAAAGTGTGCATGATAAATCAATTAATCTGATTTTACTGGTATGCTACAATTGCTCTGTATGAGCCATAGCATTTATTTAACTAAACATTAAATTTAAAATATTACATTTATTTTGATAAATTATTGTTGTTTTTTCTTCAGGGTGAAGTGATCAATATAACCCGGCGAGTCGATGATCAGTGGTTAGAGGGAAGGATCACAGGGACCAGCCGGAGTGGCATTTTCCCAGCCAGTTATGTGCAGGTCACCAAGATGCCCCGCACCAAATACTCCACAGATGACTACTCCCCTGGCCCATTGTCCCCCGTCTCCCCTGGACCCCAAAGTCCAGGACGTCCACTCCACTCACCCTGCCCGCGCTCACCACTGTCCCCCTTCACCCCTAACTCCCTCAGCCCCAGACCTGCTCACTCACCCCTGAAACCGTCCTCACCTGTACCTTACAATAGCACAGCTTCACATTCACGCTCCCCCACCCAAACACCCGTTTCCAAAGAAACAGCCAATCGGTGGCCTCACAGCACCTCCAACACTGCCTCACCAACCAACCAGAACAGCCACTGGGCAGGGGTGAGCGCCCCAAATCGAGCTGTTTCACCGTCCAATCAGACATCAGCATCAGTTCACAGAGCAGGATCGTCCACAGCGAACACTCCCAGAAACACTGACCCTGCTCAGGTCTGCTATGCTCTCACTGCCTGTCTGCATGTCCTCACTGTGGTCTTATTGTGTATGTTGATAAGAGTGTAATTAATCATTCTTTATTTGGTAGCGCCTGACATGAGGTTTCCTTTCCTTCCAGGGTGCAATACCAAACCAGTCTGCTCCACATGTTAACTCCCTGCCACACACACAAGTGCCAAACAGCCCCAGTTCTGTGTCAACACGCAATCCGTATGTCCCCGTGGTTTTAGTTTTTCACAATTGTTGTGGTACAGAAAAGCTGATGTAGCTCTGTTGAATCTGTGGATGAGCCTGTGTATTTCCTTTTTCTGTTTTAGATATAAAGCTGTTTACAATTACAAACCACAGAACTCAGACGAACTGGAGCTCAGAGAAGGAGACATCGTACAAGTGATGGAGAAATGTGACGACGGCTGGTTTGTAGGTATGAAAAAAATAGTTTATTTTAACATATTAAAGTTCTCTATTCCAAAAAAAAAACCTAACAAAAAACATGTTAAAACAGCCCATTTACTTTTTAACCATTTATTTTTTAACTTTAGGAGCTTCAACTTATGTCTCATTAAAGGGGCTATATATAACTTTCTACATGTATAAATCGTTTTTTATCGCCCATTAATAAGTGAACGGTTAACTGATGTGAAAAAGTAGATGTTCACTGTTTATCTGTGATGCCTGTATAAAAAGTTTCCCCGGGTCGTATTTTCCGCAAAAGCTCCAGGAAGTGACATTTTATGCACGTTCTCATCATCCTCCTCACTCCGCTTACAGAGATCAACAGTACAAACTCATCACACACTCCTGCTCTCAGCCAGTCGTTTATAGGATGGAGAATGAATACAGACACACAGACTCCTTCACAGGCTTTCACATGTGTATGACCACTTACCTCCTCTGTAAACATTAAGCCAGTAAATATCCAGTGTTTCTCGGCCGATGATGACGCTCGTCTGTGTACGTACAAGAGCGAGCAACAGGTTACTGGTGCAGTTCACCTAACGGCCATGCGGTATCGCTACAAGCGCAGTATTTTTGAAAGTTACGTATAGCCCCTTTAAAGCATCAATAGTTTAACCCTTTATCATTAAAGTCAAGTCAAGAGATGCATCAGCAGGTCTACCATCCACAGTATGAAAATAGATGTGATTATTACATTATATCAAAAAACAAAAAATACATTTTTGAGGCAACAAAGTATTTCCTTTCCATCATGACCAAGGGAAAAAGTATTTTAAAAACATTCAGCTGTGTCAGTACCCCCTCTAGTGGACACTCTGTGACATTGCAGATAAACTTATTTAGATTATTTACATACAATTATTTGTTTTGTTTTTTTGCGTTCTGTGCAGGTACGTCAGAAAGGACTCGAGCGTTTGGGACTTTTCCTGGGAATTATGTTGCACCAGTTTGACTTCCTCACTTCCTGCCTGTCCACGTCAACCTGGACTCATGAGAGACCAACTTAAACTCACTCCAACAGATCCTCCACTGTCACCCTGGCATTTCCTCATCACATTTACCCACCACACTACAAGGACATGGAGTGGTTTCTCCCCTCACCTCCCTGCATGAGAGCATGAATGTGTATGTGTGTGTGTGTGTGTGTGTGTGTGTGTTCCACTGAGACTTATGGATTTTTTGACACACCACATTAGAGGCTGTAATGAATGCTGATGATACTGTTTCAGATACAAAGAATGGATTGCTTTGTTCCACAACTGTTTGCAGATGTTGGAAATTTGCATTCCTTTCTTGTGAACAGCACAGATCCTTCTGAGGTCCTGATACAGTGTGCTCCTTTATTCAGCTTTTGCCATCACAAATCACTGCTAAGAGTTTGAATTAGAATGGCACATTATTTTCTGGCATTTCAGTCGATTAACATTTCCTTCAAATATCTCCCTCAGATTTTCTTTCAGATCTGTGAAAGTACCCGAGACAAGTCTGAGGAATCAACATGAACATCTCTAGATGTGTGCTGAAAGTAATTCACAATAAGGGCTCGGACATGTCGACAGAAGTTTACAGCCCTTTATTAGACTATGCAGAAAAGCAAATGTAACTGATGCATGTATACTGTTTTCTTGAGCTTTTTTGACGCATTGACCCTCTTAAGCCATGATGTGGAATGCCAAAGGTGAAAGTAAAGAAAAGACCCTGTCCTGCTGTAATATAAGATGCTTTGAACTGAACTCTATTTCAAACCTCTTTAAATGTAACCTAGATAATGTCTCCACAGCCAACAATTGAATGATGTTTTGAAGTTTTTGAAGTACTGCTGTATGTGCCAAAACTATCCTTTTGTGCAATCTGAACCTTTTGAAATCCTCTACTTAACAAAACCAGCTCACATTAGTTCTGCAACATTTGCTACTACTGCTTTTATGATGTTATCTGTGCATAATGAATTAACCTTTTACAGTATTTCTAAAACCACTAAATGTATTTTTGATCCGATACAATCGCTACAACGCTTTCAAAGTCTAAATAGAAAATCCTTCATGAAGTCATAATGCAATTTCTTAAGATATATATCCACAGTTTCACTGTAAAAATAAATCATGTTTAGCAGACACAGGAGATGATTGTACAGACTGTAACCTATGATCAAATTGAAAGTATAATATATATTTGCTTATAAAACAATGTATCTTATGGATGGTACGCAATTTTTTAAAGGAATTAAACACTACAGAGTGATACTGACAGAAGTTTGTTCTTGTATTCATTTCAGTCAGTACTGTTTATTATACTTTTAAACCGGTAGGGAACATTACCTTCACAGTTGTAAGTGAACAAGAAATTAACCTGAATTTGTCAGACTCACCGAGCACATACAATTTACAACCAAAATAAATTGAATGCCATTCAGACAAAGGAAATGTTTGTTCTTCTTTCAAGAAGGGTAAGTTTAATAGTGATATTCCATCCTACCTGCACACCCAAAAAATGACTTAGATAAAACAACTCTTTTGCTCTCTATTTGTTAAATTAGGAGTATATACAATCAATTACAAAAGCCCTGCCATATAATTAAGAACCTTCATAATAAATCTTTACATTTTTTCCTTCCCTATTGACATTAACACAATTTATATTCATAGAATCAAATCTGGCTATATAGCAGTTCAGTCTAACATCATCACCAACTTTAAACTTAGCTTAAAGCTCCTGAGATGAGTTTTTAGTTGGATATGAAAAAGGCTGAAAGTACTGTTTGCTTCTTTATGAGCTACAAAAGCAAAGCAAGAAGATAGATTACTTCTACATTATAAAGCTTTTAAATGTCTAAACTGCTGCCAGCGAATGTCAGACAAAGTGATTAACAGCAAACTGCAGAAACAGCCTCTTTTACATTTCCTACAGCAAGAGTGTTAGATTTGTTAAAACTAAGCAGGATGATATTTAAAAAATATATAAAATAACACTATAAAAGGCATATTTAGGACAAAATCAGCAAATATATTGCAAGTAAGCCTTTTGCTTTGCCCACAGGGGGCGCCAAAAGTGACAGAAACTGAAGGATACAATATTAAACATGAAAACGGCTTTCAAAACAAAATAAACTTGAACGTCTCTGTCAAAATAATAATAATAAACAAATAATAAACTGTTAAATCAGCATATTCTTCCACATTGATCAGATAAAATACAAACAGACTCATAGAGCCTTTCCCTTCTAAAGGCATATGTAGCCTATAACAGAAAACCCACAAATGCAAGCAAATGCTCCAATATTTGATTTACCTAAATCAGTGTTCTGAAGTAAGAGCATAAGTTGTGTTGTGAGTCTTTGTCGCTTTGTTGCTTTTAAGAATTAGGCTTTTGCTTAGTGACATTTTAGTAAGTAATGAAAAAAGATAATGAGGAGGTTAAGAAAATTCATATTTTTAATAAATAATCCATCACATGAAGGAGAGAGATAATGCCAAATTATTTAGGTTTCTTACTACTCTTTTGTGCAATCATTTTATAAATCTTTTTTCAAATGAAACTGTTGGCAATGGCATGCCCAGATGCCCAATCAAATCAGGAACAGTAGGTTCAGACAGCTCAACAGCGTCATGTAGGCTTGGCTTTTTGGTGGGGCCCTGTTGGAAGCACGTGCTGCTCTTCCTCCTGTCGTCAGCAGGTAGCGCGCGGACCCAAAAACTCTGTTGAGAGCGCTTTCGGATAAATGGCTTAATCATAACTGCTGCACCCTCTTCTCATCTCCTCCCTCCTCTCTGATGCATGCGGCACGCCCCGCGCCGCTGGCCCTGTCAAAAGCTTTTATTTTGGTAATAGCACATGGCATCGCGAGCTCATCAGTGATACCACCGCGCGCGCGGCCACAAGTTGTGTTCATACGTGCCGCTGAAACATCTGAAACATCACGACACTGACAGTGAAGGGACTACATCTCATCATTTGCGCTTTAGTGCTCTTAAGTTGACGGAGGGGACTCAAAAAGCTGCGTTTTACTCGGTTTTTGGACACTTTTGGGCAGTTTTGTTTTCAGCTCAGGTGAACTGGGACTTGCCTTTTGTCGACGAGCGCGAGAGATTAAACAGGTGGAGAAGGCACCTAAAATCAACCTGCACTCACCTTGGTAAGAAAAAGTGTTATTTAAAAATGTCTCCACGTCCATAAAGTTTCTTTGCGAGCTCGATACACAATGTTTTTTGATTTCCTTCAAGCACGTCAATCTATCTATCAAATCAATCTATCGAAACTGTTGTGAGTCAAACTTTTGTGAGCGTGCTGAGAGTGAATACATTAGCGTTGCTATTTGTATGTTATTGTATCCTATTCTCATATTTCTGTTTTAAATTTGTGTTTAATGTTGTTTTATGAGACGAAATGGGATTTTTTTTGAAGGTTTATTTCAGTCTTTTAACCTTAGAGGCTCATAACTCATAAACCTTGGAGCAAACTGTGTGCAGCACACACATAGGAGATAATTTGGCTAATGATGCATGTATGAGTGGAAATTGTAGAGTCTGACTGACTCGAGACTTCCAGACCACACATACAGATCTGTTATAAGGAAAGCAGGTATTTTTGCACGTTAAACAGTCAGGGTGATTTGTGGAAGGGGCTGGTCCAGGTGCGACCTAAGGAAACATTAAGTCAGTATTTCTGTCACATTGGTGTGTAGGCTGTTATCTTCTCTCTCCTCCTCTTTAAGTGAACTGTTGAGGGTGATGACTCTGAATTAGCAGGTCTACTGTAGTTCAAGTTTAGTAGCCTACTCTGTCATTCACAAGTTCATGTCCATTTGTTTAAGTGTATTGGGTGTAACTCAATGAAATGTTCATTGATAAACAAGTCTGGCTCGTGAGCTCAGCAGGTGGGAAAGCACTTAAAGGAGTTTCTCAGAGTTCATGTAGGCTACTATCCAGAACAGTCCCAGTGAAACTGTCTGCTGTTTGTGTACCTTCCCCATTGTGATGCAGCCTTTCATGTGCCAACTCCTAACCCTCCTCTCACTTTATATTGTGTTTGTTTTCTGACAGTTTTCCTCGTTTTTCTATGAGAGAACACTTTGGTTTTCTAAGATGGAATAGTCCTGAAACCATCAAGAAACCAAAACAGACCACTGTAATTTTGGAGAGAGCGAAGCGGTTGTCTTTTCAAGAAAAAAGGGAAAAGCCAAACTTGTAACTTACTAACTTCGGCAGGAATGTATTTTTTGTTTGTTTGACACTTGCACTGAGGTTTCGACCTAAGAACATATCAGTCTTCTTTTGCTAAATACCACTGTGTTGGTATTTTATTTAGCTCTGCAGTTACAGCCTGTGCACGTTTATGCAGGAAGTCAGTATGTCTGTTATGTCTGAATGATGAGAGTGTGTTTTTGGCTCTAGTTTTTAGTGTGTGTGGTTTTCAGATTTAGCTTAAGCAGAGGCGTCACAGGATGGCTCTGAGTGTTGAGTAGAAAAATAACAACAGTTTTTGTTTGAGGGTGTTATTCTAACATTGACAGAAATGAAGTCTGTAACCACCATGCATCTAAATATATTAAGTTGATGTTTGCAGCAGTGTATTTCATGAGTAGGCATGTGATGGAAGAAGCAGCTAATAGTGCGTGCATGCAGAGGATGTGGTTAACTGGTCTGATTTGCTGAGGGGCACAGTGTGCAGTCAGTGCAGTGTGAACAACAGTAGAAACATGATCTCCACATCAGGATAGTGCAGAGGGAGATAAGTGGAGCTGGTACCAAAGTGTTCTTGTACTGTAACAAACCATCTTTGCAGTGAACACAATCCAACCCACTGTAGCAATGCTGCAGCAAAGTGGCAACCTGAGAAACACTCTTTTAGATAACAGAAGGGCCCATGATACATAGAGATCTCCTGAACGATAGTGTGATTGTGCAGTTTCAAAAAGAAAACATAATATTGAGAGAAAACACACTGATTGCACATTTTGACTAGCATGAGCATTACAACCTACAGAATTTTAGGCAGTATCAGAGGCTAATGCAGTTACCAGTACTGGTATTGGTATCAGATAAACTTAAATCAACCAATTGGGATAAATTGAGCTAATCTCTATTTAAATATTGTACATCAAATATGGAGAATACGTAAGTTTAGCACACCATTCAAGTCTTTGAGGCTTTGGTGTATAAAAAAACTCTCTGTATGGAGAGCATAAGCAGAGGGAGCAACATCTGTTAAAATGACATCTGGTGGGGGATGTATCAAACCCAGATTTATTTATCTCTATAAACAGAAATCTGAACGCAAGTGCAACCAACAATGTGATCTAAAAGTGAGTGTGATGAGTCAGAAATACAACGTTGTTCAAAATCTATGAAGATGCCATGCCAAAGGGCCAAGGTTAGATGCATAGTTGGTCACTGGGTTTGCCATTGTTTCCAGAGGCATGTATCGTCATCAAATGATAGTCGTTTGGTTACGAGAATTGGGTTGAGCTAATTTTAGCAGCAGCCTGCTCCGGATATGTCTTTTCCAAAGTAGAGCATTTGAGAAGCACAGTGAAACTTCTTTTATTCAGTTTTTTACATGTTTAATTGTCTCATAAAACATATATACTTGAAAAAGGTAAACCGACAACTTGAGCACATGTTAATTAACTTTTTTGAACTAAATGACCCCTCTGGTTTCTTAAGGCTTCCTTATCGTCAGGATACGTCTCAAACTGCATTTTCAAATCTCAAAATCTAATAATTATTGACTTGAAAAATATTTTGATCATATCTTTCCCCATATGTCCCGGCACTTCGTAACAGTTTCAGGATTATGTTGCAGCTTGTTGCCCTTCAGGAGCATGTATCGTAAATGTTTCTCACTGAAAAGGGAGTAACCACAAAAATTACAGGTATGGCTCCGTCTATAATCATCTTGCTGACATATAAGCGATTAGCGAGATATATATATATATATATATATATATATATATATATATATATGACACAGAAACGTATTATTAACCAACGCCCCTTTTGACATCATATGTTGTTGTTTGATATGTCCTCATCTCCATGGTGACTACAGCCCTATCTGACCATATGGGTGTGATTTGGAGAATACTTTGAATGTTATTGTGCTGTACTCAGTCCAGGGATAGGCTTGGTGCTGCATTCTTCTCCTTTCTATTCAGAGGGTGTGTGTCCAGGTAGGTGCCGACCTGTCAGGGTGCTGTCTGACACGCAGGGCAGAGTCATCAGCAGACTGCATCACCTGCTGAGGGCAGCGG